TACAAATGCAAAAAATGGGATTTTTTACATTTCAAGGCTACAACAAGGTAAGGTTTGGTTTATTTCTGCTCAAAAAGATATTGCTAAGTTTATGCTTTCTTACATCGGATGAAATATGGATAGTTTTAGGTTGGAGACAACAGTGCAGTGAATTTGTTACCTGTATTAGCTGAACAAATAGAAGAGGGTGAAGAATAGAAAAGTTAGGCTAATGTCACTCGCCGATTTTATTTTGTCAAGGTCTCCGTTACCCTTTACTTGATGAAGAAGGAGATGTGAACATTGCCAGATTTCTTCCATACAACGCGAAGCTCGATAGTGACACTTTTCGATTTCTTTGGAAGAAAATGCAAGGTCCAGAAGATATCAAAAAGTCTAGAGCCGTTTAATTTTTATGTTTCTAGAAAAAGGCTGTGTAACGATGTTCAACGATGATCTAATGCACTCGACTCGTGGATTGTTTCATTATCCAGCGAGTGCTTTCCGGAAAGGTGAGAGTTCCACTTCGCGGTGGTTTTCAGCTGAGTAAGCGCACCCTGTTATTGAATTTTCAACGAATGGAAATTATATAGAAACAGTTATTTAGGATTTCGGGTTTCTCCAACGACCCACTATTATCGCCCATATTACCTAGAAATCTACGCGGTGGGGAATTTTTTCTTATAGCTATGAATGCCATGGACTTCCTGTGTAGTGAAAACTATACGCGCTTACCTATTATTTAGGCACTTTTGGATGTACCAAAAGCTTGCCTTAAAGGAGACTTTTTACACGGAGAATTTCTGGATATTTGGTATCGATTTATCACTACTTATAAAGACAAATGTCACTTCAGTTTCAGTTTTTTGACAAGGTTTGTGGAAACTCTTTGTATCTGCAGGAAGTAGTCAGAGATTCAGGTATTTATTAGGAACTTTCAGTCTCACCCACGATAAACCGAACAATATCCAATTGATTGATGATGTTCTAAGCGATCGCCTCCGATTACTTGAGGTAGGAAGTTAGTTACATAAAATGCTGAAGAATAGAGAAAAGCTTGGAAACTTGGAATGCAAACTTTTAGTTTTTGTAATCCTTGTAGTTGCATTCAGGGAAAGGGTGATGCTTGTGCGGGTGCATGGTAGGCTTGCGAGCATCCTTGGACACAATCCAGATTCTTAATTAGTTTGACCAGCAAACTAAATAGTAATGATTACGAGTCTTAGGCTTGTATAAACCCTGGAGTACGAATTGCTGCAAAAGAATTATCGTATACTCGGTGGGCAAATTGTATGGCAACACAGAATGTCTAACCAAGGAAGTTCACTTGGTCGAAGTGGCAATTCAAAATGAGGTAAATAATGTCCAATGTAGCTCAAAACGCCGACTCCAAACTTGCCAAACCACATTTGCAAAGCGTTTCCATGTAGGAAGTTAAGCTATTCTCTAAAATTGCTCTACAGAACCTGGGTCAAAAAGATTAAATCTTCAACCTTGACCCAAAACAGCGAGGCTGCATATTGACGAAAAATGTGTCTATAATAAAACAGTTTTGCTTGTTGTTTTGCTTGTACGAGCCGCTCAGGCTAATTTCAACACAGAAAATTCCATAATTTTTTAATAGAGGAACGCTTCGCAGACAAGGGAGACAGGGAATTAGAGTCTGAAGTTGCGTTTAAAATTATGCATTGCTTCTTGAATCGCCACTTGGACCAAATAATCTTTCACTGCAAGTAATGCGTTTGGTTAGAATATTGAAGGATTTTGTTGTAACTTGTTGAAGAAATAGGACTAAAAACAGGATCATCGTGCTTATT